CGTTGCCCAACATCCAACTGGCTCTAATGTATGATACAAAACAGCACAGGGCATACAGTGCAGTTTGGTCCATGTGAAGAGACTCTAAGTAGCTCCCTCAGGAAGGTCTGGGGGCTACCAAGCTCCCAGAGCATGAGCTCTGAGATCCTTCAGCCATCTTAGTTCAGTTCAGATCATGTTGTACACCTTTCCCAGGTGTCTCATGCTGTGTAGAACAGGGAACATGTGCTTGATTTTATAGCAAAATGTGGTCCTTTTGTCTGCCTCATGATTGGTAAAGTGTGTATAACATCTGACCACACTTCCCGAGGGTAGAGGCCTTAATAAAAACAATTTGGTCATTGCTTTGAGGTCAAGGCCAATGCCATGTGAATTTGATCTGCTTTTAAGCTTGAAAAGTAAGTCGGTTCAATGCTGACTTTTGGAGAAATCACTGCTGACACAATACCATCAGCTTGCAGAGAGTCCATCTCTGACAGCTGCTGCTGTCTACCTGATGGTACTATTGTTAAGATGAAGCAGGAATTACAGCTTGATGCTCGCTTACAATGCATTGCTCTAACGCAGACCCAGGTCCACCGAGCACATAGTGAGAGATGTGAACCCGATGCGTCTCTTGATTTTTCTAACCACAGGCAAAGGGGCTTAGAAAAGTCCAGTGTTACCACTGGGACAGATTTTAATAACCCAAGATGGCAGTTTAACATTTTTCTTCTCTTGGCTGTGATGCAACTTGTGGCTGGGGGAGTGCTCTGAGCCCTCTCAGCTGGTGGGGGACCTTCCGAACCTCAACAACTCTTCCCAGAGATGCCGTAATCCCAGGAATTCCCCCTGTGATGGCTGCTTTGATGAGCCAGGCTGAGTTGTTTGATGCAATTGTCTGTTTCTGGACAGAAGTCTACACTGTACCAACACCATTACAACTGGTAATGATTTATTCCTGTGCTGTCTTGCAAGGAGTCTGGTAAGATAAGCCAAAATTGCAGGGACTATGAAGGCTTTTTTCCTCCTGGTCTCCTCCTGATTGTCCCTTGTGTGATGCTGCATCTTGTGGTGAGCTTGTATTTTCCGTCTGTCATTGCAGTGATCCCTACTATGGAATATAGGTTAAGGATGCAAGAAATACAAGTAAGGTTTGAACTAATTTATGATTATTGTCAATAGAGGAATCCCTGGAAAGGTGAGTTTGGCATGCTGGTTATGCAGAAGACATCAGATATCATCTTACTAGCTCTTCTACTGAGAAAAGATCTGGCAGGAATGAGGACAGTCTCTATCGAGCCATTATTTTATAGTTCTGCTTTCTAGTGTTGATCATTTAAAAAGATGCAAACAGAACAGGAAGAAAGAGACTCCTTTACTATTTCTACCTTCATTGGACAAAGTCATTTTTGTCATGGTAGTAGGCGGAAACTTTAAGCTTTAAACACTTTCCAATGGAAAACAAATGTGAAGCTCCTGGTTTAGTTTCCCATTTGTCACTTTTCTAGGATTGGCACTAGGCAGAAAAGGAGACAAGATACACATAGTGGAAAAATAGTTTCCTTCTCAATGGCTGGAGTTATTTGTGTAAAATAGCAGTGTAATTTTCTCTGTTCTTTTCAGTCTTAGGAGATCTGAGGTTGGGGTGAGGGGGAGTCAACTGGCTGAACTAATTCTCCTCAGGAGAGAATTAGTAATTTTACGGAGAATGAGTAATCTTTCCCCTTGTCATTTTTCATAGTGGACTCAGCCAAAAAAAAAAAATAATAAATAGGATGGGAGCTAAAAATACTTACGCATTTTTCTTGTGGTCGTCCTTATCTGGACTATCACAGCGCTCAAGGGAGTTGCAGCATTGCAGATGGATCTCTCACAAGCTAAGTGGGATGCATCAAAGAGGAGTGCCCGGCAACAGAGTGTCCCCTGCTGCCTTGCCCAAGGCGAGAGCACAGGGTCCAGGAGAGGAAACTAAAGCCCCCGTCACGTACAGCCAGCAAACAAGTCCAGGCTGGCTCCTGCGCACTCCCAGGAGCAGCTGATGAACAGTTTTCATCTGCCCTCTCCTTGCACTCTGATTCACTAAATCCCTTCCTCCCAGGCTTGCTACTAAGCTGGGGCAGGCGACTTGGGGCGTCTGTCCTAGAGCAGGGCAGTTTGTCTGCAGATGGGCATTGAGCAGTTTCCTGTCCTGAAGGGTAGGGGACCATCGCCTCTGCTGACTCCTTCCACCACCATCAGGCAAGCCCTTCCCTGAAGGTGGGCTACAGCCAGAAATGTCTGAAAACTCTTTAGCATGGGGTCAGTGGTTGACTTCTAAAACTTCATATGTGCATCAGAAAACAAAAGGAAAATAAATCTGTGGCTCCCTCTGGAACACACAAAAGAGCTTGGGACTCTCATCTGGAGTGAGAGATGATCTTGTGAAATTTGGGCTGTTTGGTGAAAAGTGCGGGATGGCTCCAATTTGTGATGCTGGATTGACTTTTTTTGATCAATTGGGGTTGATTTTTCAAAGCAAGTACCTCTTGTTCTCGCTCAGTTTGCAGGCTGGTCTCTGGGTTGAAAACAAACACCAACTACCCATCTCATATTAAACAGTATGTGTAGATCACTGACACAGAATTCATGCTGGGTAGTTTAAATAATTTTTTAAATAGAAATTTACTCTTATAATTTCCCTGGCCAGTCAGATAGATATGATTTCCACCCTCCCCTTGCAACCTAGACCCCTTCTCCAAACATTTACAAGATTAATTCTTGTGTAGATTGAATGTTCATCAAAGGGGATCAAAGGGACCTGAGGCAAGTGCTGGCACTCTGGCCCGGGAGCGTGGGGTGGATGGAGCTGGCATGGGTAGGGTGGGGGGTGTCATTGCTACATCCCCACAAACCAAAGCACGTCCAGACAGAGCAGTCCCTGGTGTTCCTGGCCGGGATGGGGGAGGAATCCAGCTCTCCCATATGCGAAGGTCCTTGCAGTGGTTTAGTAGAGCACTTCAGGGCCTCTCAGGGATGAGTTTCATTCCCTTTGAGATTCCCCAGTGATAGCAGAGGAAAGGAATCCTGCTAGGTTTGCTTTGCACGGGAAGGTGTTCAAGAGCAGTTGATCAAAATTAATTTCCTGACCGCGTAATGGCAGGAACAGGCGAGCCCAGATGTGCCATTTGGGTAAAGCCGCATTATTCTTTAATTCCTGTCAGCTTTCACAAGTGGATGTGTGAGTGGCCACATGGCCAGGGACTCTCCTGCTGCCAGGAGGTGATACCTCTGCCTTTACTTTCACAACCCATACTTTCTTTAACCAAGTGTAAAAACAAAAACAAAAACAAACCACCAAAATATGGCCCTTAAATGAAAAAATAACCCCCAATCTTCTCCCTGGAAACATGCAAATACATGGGGAAAAATAAAATAAGTGAAAGGCGACCAAAGCAGCCTTTCTGGAGACTGATTTCTAATGCCACCAACAAAAAATCAGCAGGGACAGGGACCTCCAGGAAGAGAAGGGCTGGGCAGACGAGGCGAGTGGTGCTGCTGGAGGCCTGTAATGTGAGCGGGTGGTAAATCCGTGTGAAAACCTCCTGCTGTTCCTGCCCCCTGCTCGTACCCCCACACACGGGGGGTTGCCCTCACCTGCCAGCTCCTGCCTCTCACCCCGGAGGCCCCGCGGAGGTTGGCATTGGCATCATCATCGTCACTCGCTCCCTTTGCACAATGTGTGGCTCGAGGGACTTTCACACGCCTGGACGCCCACCTAAGGGTATTGCAAAGTATCTGCTGGTAAAAGGCAGCTGGCAAAACAATAAACCCTTTGGCAAAAGCCCTCTCTGCTTTTCCTTCTCCTGCACATGGTCCATTAGCATCCCTTCCTCCTACAGTAGCTTTGTGATCCACCCCAAAAAGCAGTATATTTGAGTCACTCGGGTCCAGCAGGGCCTCCAAGGTTTCTGCCAAAGGCTGTTTCTTGTGAAGACCCTTTAAGGGAGCCAGCCTTTCATGCTTGGAGGGATCCCCAGTATTGCTGGCTCCGCTTGAGAACTGCAGCAATGTGATGTGGCAAAAGTAAAAGAAAACGGGCCTGGCGCCATGTAACACTTCACAGGCCAAAACCAGTCCAACTTGTCTGATCCTCCGTACGTCTGGGAACACACCACCCCTTCAGGTGCTCATGCCAAGGCAAACCTGGCTGGAACAGAAAGCGGGCTGTATACGGGTATGGGGGGACCATCTGCCCAGGGCTCCCCCCACTGGCCTCCATGACATCCCACCACACGGTGCAGGGAGGTGGGGACCCAGGACCCACACAACTCCAGTGATGTTTGTGTAGGTGGATCCCAGGGGTCATTAGGAAGCTGTGAGGAGGAAGGATCCTGTGTGAGCATCCTTCCCTTCCTGTCCTTGCTCCCAGCAAACTTTCCGCCCACTTCGTGCCTGCTCGGTCGCCACCAATTCCCTGCTCCTCTGTATTTGACAGCCTCCTGCCCCTCACCCATGGTTTCTTGCTGGCTGGCTGCTCCCTCTGTGCCCTGGGTGAGTTTGACAGTCCTTCCGGAGGTGACAGCCAACCCGAAGGGCACCAGTTATTTTCAAAGTTTGGAATCTGACACCATGGACATGCACATCCATCAGCGGCCCCAGCAAGTGCAGATGGGTTACAGGTGCAAATGGAAGGGCTCCGTCTTCCGGGCTCTGAAGTTAAGGGACAGGTGCCCCTCTTTGCTTTTAGCTCTTCTTATTAGTAAAAGCCCTTCTTCACCCATCCTAGCCATCTTTCAGGTGCTTCTGGCATTTCATGCCCATACAGCTTTGCTTCCTCCTGTCTCCATTCCAAACCATCCTCCTACTAACTCTGCTTTATGCCGAAATATTAACCTCTCAAGCAATCGGCAGCTTCACCCTCTCAGTGTGCCAGCAGCCCTGCAACCAGAGAGAGGGATGCGCTTAGAGAAAAGGCCACCTCTGTTTTAGCAGGTGGCAGACACTCTGTGTGCACAGGAGCTGCTGGTGAGGGAGGCACCATGCCAAGAGTTAGCAACGAGAAAGAAGGAAACAAAGAAGTCATGTTTTTGTACAACATAGCACTTTTCACTGTGAATACACGTGTGAGGGTGGGTGGACGAGAGAGCCTACAAAGCCTTTCAGAGGAGGTGCTGGGGGGACCTGTGGCAGGGATTGCTGCTCCCTGGCTTTTCCCATTCATCCCACCTCTCTTTTCTTGCTCCTTCTCTCATTTTCTCTCCCTTAGTCCATTTTGTGCCAGTTCAGTGCTTCTCGACAGGAGCTCAGGCTGCAGTTTTAGCAGGACCCACTAGTGCCAGCAGGGAAACACACGGATCTTTCCTCCTGCTGGTTTTCCCCTTTTCTTTCTTCTTGGATCAGCTTCCTCAATGATACCCCTTTACAGGCAACAGAAAATCCATCTTTTTGGTGATGGGTTTCACAGCTGCCTGCCGAAATGCAGGACTGGGGTGGACGAGGTGCTCCAGGAGCCGAGCTGCTGCTTCTCAGCATCCCCACCTGCCCCCTGGGCCAGGCCCCAGCTCCTCTGGCAGCAGCTATGGACCGGGTGGACAGAGGAGAGATGCTGGCCAAAAGCAGTTTCTCTTCTCTTTTCAACTTTATCGGGGCAGCGGCCACGGGACAGCAAAAGCTCCTCAAAAAAACCAGCTAGACAATAGCAGGGTGAGTTTGTCAGGCTTTTTTGTTTTACTTATTGGTAATTTTATCCATGACATCACTGATGAAGTTGAATACTTTAGTTTAAATCATCTTTTTAACAACAGAAGTGAAGCTTATTTCCCACAGAATTTCCCTTTTGTTCTTTGCTTAAATACTCTTGCTTAAAATGCCCTTTGGCTGTTATTAATTACATCCACAGTTTTCTAAACAACTTAATCTGTGGAAATTAGAGTTTGCAGGGAGGGCCAAGATCTAGTACATCTGAAAGCAATATTCCTGTCCCTTTTAAACATAATTAATTTGCACTGATTCTTACAGCAGTACGAAAACAACATGCAAGATGTACAGCAGAGGATAAAAATACACATCAGCGGAGCCAAGTTAAATCAACTGCTGTGGGCTGTGCCCTTCCCCTGCCTCCTGGGAAGGGCTGGGTTGCAAGGCTCACAAACATAGGTGTGGGCAGAAGGGCACAACAGTTGCCCTCTGTATTTCATATGGGCAGAAGGACACAATAATCGCGCTCTGTATTTTAAAAGCACACCATTACCACGCCGTTATATATTGTCACCAGCCATTAGAAAGGGACTAAATTGCTATTTCTGCTCTCAAGCCACTCCGCTTGGCATACTGGCTTTCAATGCATCGAAGAGTCCTTCACATCTGCTGTGGGGGCAGTCAAACGATCTGACTAAGCCCCCAGAATACGGGGGGCTATTTTATTAAGCAAATCTATTTAAAACTGAGGGGAAAGGGTAGTTCGCCTGTCTGAAAACACTGCTTTTCTAAAACAAGCATGTCAGGTCTCCCCTAGGACAGCGTGTAAGGCCACTGCAAGGCTGCTACTTTAAAGTCACTTTTCCAACAGAAATTGCAATTTTTGCTTCTTCAAAGGAAGGGAATCAGTACACTAACTTTTCCAGGTTACAGAAGTCAGCACGGTACCCTGCAGAGCTGCTGGCACTGTAGCAGAGGAGTCCCCATCTATATATTTTCTGGGCTACAAAGGTGTCACAGCCAACGTGTTTCCGCTGTTTGTTTTTCAGCAAAGCTGTGCACTGGGGTTTTCAGCCCCCAAGTCACTGGCAGAGGTCAATGAGGTAGCAGTTCCAGCAGGCATATAGCTGGCATGGATGCGGTTGAAGGGGTCCATGTGGTTTCTCTGGCTTTTCTTCATCTGCGTCAGGTGAAGGGAAATTGCGGGTGGGTGCAGGCGCCCACACCTTTCAGGACAGCTAGTCTATTTCAGCTAGTCTGCTTCCTTTTTTTGCTCCTTGATCTTATCTCAGACTGAGCTGAACAGGATGTTGGCTTTGTGGTGCGTGAATGGAGAAGGTCTCACCATGAAGGCTTTTCCCTTGAAATCTCTCAATGCTTTCTGAGGACAAACTGTGCAGGCAGGTTTGGGGTGCTGGTGGTACCCAGCATTCACAGCATCCATCCCACTGCTGGCCACCGTGCTCTGCCGGGGCTGGTGTCACCACCTGGGGACACTGGTAGGTGATGCTCTCCAAAGCCACCCACATTTGGGTGCAGACGAACTCCATAAGGATTTGGCCAACACAGGCCAGCTGCCTTCTCTGCCAAGCCTAATCCCATTTATCATACTGTGCGGGACTGCCGAGGGCAGCTGGTTGACATGACAACTGCATTTCCCAGCGCTGGAAATAGTGTTTCCCATTGCCCATCTTTCATTCCTGTAATCCCGAGTGGAGGCTTTGCTCTGTTTTTGTTTTATTTTCCTCTTGAGGAAGAAATAAACACATTTCTTAATTTCCTGCTTGGAGCAAAGTGGCTGAGCCAGAACCGAAACCTCCTCTGGGTGCCTGCTTGGGATGAAGGTGGGGGAGCAGGCAGTGCTGGGTGGCTAGAGTGTCACCTCAGTTCCCTCTGCTCCTAAATTTACCTTCCTACATGCCTGGACAGGACTTCACATAGTCAGTGATCATCCCTGCTCTTACGCTCCCCATCTTTCAGCAGTTTTTCCTTCATCTCTTAAACCTGGAACGCTCTGTGTAGCTGCAACCACTGCCAGCAGCCAGCCAGCCCTGTGAACATCACTTCCAACTAGCCCTCTGGAGTCCTTTTCTCCCTCTAAACCTTGGCGCATCTCAAGTTTTCCATTAAAGCTTCCTCATCTCCCTGATAGACCATGAGCTTTGCCTGGTCCCAGTGAGGTGCAGGGCTGGCACCTCAGGGACCTTCTGGCCTCTTGCTGGCCCCAGGGAAGGTGCTGGCTGCTGCGGCCAGAGCTTTGGCCAGTGGGGATCATTGCTGGGTTTGCAGGCAACTAAAATTCATCTGCTCCTTTTGGAGGGGCCTCAGCCCTGCTGGCTCTTACACATCCAAGTGCTGGTATGGGCAATGCCATGAGGGAGCTGAACCATCCGCGGGACCTTTCCTTGCTGGCAGTCTTTTAGCTGTACGAGGGGACACTGATGGCTGAAGGAGGCAGGGCACGGTGGCCAAACCATTGCAGTTGCATTAATTTCTCCCTCCGGGAGAAACTTCAGTCTGAGATGAATGGTTTCAGCCTGCAGAGGGATGCAGGCAAGGGGTTGGAGAGAAGTTGTATCTGTTATAACATGAACTTGCAGTGTTTTAGGAAAAAAGGGCAAACAAGCTCTCAGGTCCCCAACCCTGGGGCTGCAGGAAGCAATATTTGTCCTTACAGCAGATGAGAAATCCCCCAAACGTCCCAGGGAACTTCTTTGGCAGGTCTCGGAGAGCTGAGCTCATCGTCACCCCCCTTTTCCCTGGTTGTTCATTCACCACTTTGAACCGTTCCAGGCCCTCAGGTGGTCAAACAGCTCATGACATCCTGCCTCCCAGATTTCACCTGGTTTATTTGGCATCCTGTGTTCCCTGCTTGAGGCTTTGTATCACTCGGCCAGCAGCCAGGAGGGGCCAGGGCAGGGGATTGGTGCAAGGATGGGAGCAAGCAGAGGGCCACCCTCATCCTGGTATAATCCTCACTGAAGCCTTTAATGAGCCTGTGCAGGCAGCAGATCTGACAAAAAAAAAAGGCTTTTCTGATTGTTCTTCTAAAGCTCTGCTTAATTTTATTGTATATTTTTCTAAATTCTACCTATTCAGCCCAGTTTTCCATGGATCAGACACCAGTCTTGCTATGGGTGGCACAAGGGTGGTCAGTGGGGTGGCTTTTCTCAGTGGCAGAGCTCTCCTGCCAAGAGGGAGAGGCTGGGGAACCATAATGCTGGGTGGAAAGCCTGATTGCGAAGGAAATGCTAATATTCTTATCACCACCAATCTTCCTACCTGCAGACTGATGGATGGCAGCACCGCCAAGCCTTCACAGCTTCATTTGGCCCTGCCCCATCCAATAGAAACAGACTATACAAGTCCTTGAGTGGTGCTAATGTAACAAAACATGCAGGTCCTCAAATGCAAGGATGGAGGACATGGGATGGGGAGGACAGACAGCAAGAGCCTGGAGGTGCTTTCCTGCCCACAAGTGAGCTTAGGCCTGAAGCAGTGCATCTCCTCTTCCCAAACCACCAGTGACTGGGACCAGCTCTTCCTGGGCTCTGCTTGATGCAATCACACCTAGAGAAATCAGAAACGGCTGGGGCCATGGGGACTGAACATTATTAGGGCCTCTTGGGGAGGTTTTGGCTCAAAGAAGGCATGTAGGCAAGGGCCAGCTGAGTCACGGCTGCGGGAGAGGCTGCAGCCAGCAGATAAAAGGTCTGCATCACCAGGAGCTGTCAGAATGAGTGTTAAATTAAGTGTAAGAGAGACATGTTGTGCTTATGACTCAATTTACTGTTCCTTTTCACCATGAAAGCTCCTGCTCATGTTTTTACTATGCCCCCTGCTTTCTAACTGAGCTCTGTCTCTCACTGGCTATTTAGCGGCAATATCTGCCTGGGGTTCAGCCCTCATCCATGTGTGGGCAGTTCTTTCAGGGCTGTGGTTGAAGCGAGTGGTGAACTTCAAAAGGACAACCACATGCAACAACCTTTTTCACCAACTGAGTAAGCAGAGCTTGGGCTGCAGGAGACTCTGCAGTGAGGGTAGTCATCAGCTATGGAAGTGGTGGGAAGCCCAAAAACCAAGTAAGAGGAAGTTAAACTGCAAGTAGGATTGGGATCCATGGTTGTGTTTTGAGGGAGAGGTTTTATTAGGGTGTAACATTGTAGGTGTTGTCCACTTCTAGGAGTTTTTGCATTTGCAAAGCAAATTTACCAGTGAAATCCTGTGCAATGACTGTTCCTCTACTGCTCTTGGAAAATTTACCTTTCACTGCTTTTTTCTGCCCATTGCTCCTCAGTCCCCTCAGTGGCACACAGAGCTCTGGGTGGTCTCAATGAGCCTGTTTTCTCTCCCTCAGATTTCCCCTGAATGTTACTGCAGCTGGTGGATCACACAGCTGCTCCTTCTTAATCATCAGAAGCTTTCAAGGGAA